CCGCTTGCATGTCTCATCCCGACAGCTTGCTGCCTCACAGCCCCGCAGAGTCAGAAACAGCGGCGTGCTGCCACCAGAATGCCAAGACCGGGATTCAATCCGAAGGACGACTGATCAACAAACTAGTCGAAAGCAATAAGAGCCAGAATCCGAATGGCGATGTTAGTCCAAGTAAACGAAAAAATCCTTCATGCTAACTCAAGTACCTTAGCTTTGAGGCCTGGGGGGGGCGGCTGGGCGGTGTGGGTCGGGAACTCCAGGATATGGGGGGTTTGGCAAAGCTCCACAAGCTTGCTCAGTTTTGATTTTGGGTACCATCGTGGCTTTCAGCGATTCGGGCTTGGAGGGTCTGGGTTTGAGGCTTTCCACTGGAGCCTTTAAAGTGCAAGTGCTGAATCCTGTGCTTGAACCAATGAACACAAGACGGGCCTGAATTAGTAGGCAGAAGAGGCTTTGGGGTGGAATTCTATCGGGACTACACGGGGATAGCACGTGGAGCATCTCTAGACCGCCATGAAAGTCTCTGAGTGCCGGGTGATCATCAGGAGATTCGCCCGAACAAGGTGTTTTGGGGTTGTTTCGGTGCGTAAGCAGTAAGCTCATGAAGGCATGTCTTGACAATTCTATCTTGAGGGCATGCCTGCTTCTTTTGCATATTGATGCATTCCCCTTCTCATCATTGTAGGTTTCTTGTAGAGTCGCAGGCCCGGTCAAGCACCGCAGTCTCTGGTGCAGCCTGGGTCCAAGCTTCCCTTGAAGGGCCTGCACATCAAAATCGCCCTCATGGCGGCTCGTTGCGACGCTGCGGTGCGACCCTCAATCGTTTGTTGCGGTCTCCGACAATACGAAATTCGAGCTCAGTGCTGAGGTCACTTCCAGCCGCATGAGTCGCTAAACCAAGCGGGAACACTTGGAACCCTGAACTTCTGTAGAGATCAAGGAGCGCCCAAAGGCTTGCGGAACTTAGCTTATGGCTACGCCGCTACACGGTTGTTTGCCCAAAACATGACGCCGATTTTCGGCAAGTTACACTGCCCACAAGGCATGTGCAAGTTCCGCAAGCTGAGGCATTCAAGTTCAAGCAGGCCAGTACCTGTGCCTGGCCCAAAAATTGCAGGAAAAACCCTTCAGGGTTGGTTTGTGTCACAAGCTGCCACAGCCGGGACTGCAAACACCTCAACCCGTAGGTGAAGTCATGCTACTCTTGTTTGCACGATCTAGTCAACAGGTGTAAACCGTGGCTCATGGAATTCTTGACTTGGCATTGGTTCGTCGACCATCCAGTATAGGATACTGTACTATACTTTACTAGACGAGACTAGACTAGACTGTAATACATACTGAAATATGCAATGCAATGCTATGCTAGACTATACTGTGCGATAATAAAATGCGAAATGCAATGCCAGGCAATGCAATGCTACAATGCAATGCTACACCATGACATACTATGCTCTACTATACTATACTACACTATACTACAATGTATGTTTTGATCTACGATAATCTACTATTATGTACTATAGTACCGGACTATATTGTGCTATGTTCTGCTATACGACACTGCACTATAATGTATTGTAATATGCTATAATATACTGCAATTCTTCAGGCTTTAGAGGTCATAGTACAGTACATTGTCATATCATCGCAGATGATACCAAAATATTAATTAGCTAGTTCTTCTAGACTGCACTCTGTGTTGAGATGGTCGAAGCTACTGCCAGCTCTTAGCGGCGGGGCGCATGCCACAGCCAGCCGTGACCAGGCCTCGCATGAGGCGGATGGGTACTATGTAAGTATATCAGGTTTAACACGCGCGTTCTATAAGATTTCCCTGTTCAGCAGGAGTCCTATAAAAAAAAATATAGATAGGTGCGGTCGGAAGGACAGGCATCCCTAAACTCCAACAACAGCATGCTTGGGTTGATGGCCCAACTTAGAAGTTCCTAGCAAGGGGCCGACTTTGGGAACAGGGCGTCGCCGTCTGGATCCCAACAACCCTGAAGCGCAAATCTTGGGAACCTCGTGCGTGCGGCTATTAGTCAAGCTCCAAATAAAGCGGGGGGGGAGGGGGGGCTCTCGGGTTTGGGTGGTTTGAGGGCTTCGGGTTTACTGACACACAACCTAAACCCTTCTTAATTAGGCCCTGTCTATTTCCGGCAGGCTTCTGGACGATAGCACTGGGCCGAGAGGACATCGGCCGAGCAGGCTTCCTTGCGAGTGTGGCGACGGATCATGAAACGAACTACATTAAATCGATGGAAAAAATAATCACAATAATAAAGCAATGGCAATAGTAAAAGGCAATAATAACAGTAATGGTGCAGAGAAAAAGAACCAGCAACACTAGTAGTACTAGCAAGAGCAGGAGCAGTAGCAAGAAGCGTAGCAGTTTCAGTCATGGTACTACTAACGTAAAGTAGTAACACAGTAGCAGTAGCAGGAGCAGCATGAGTAGGAGTACAAGTACTAGTAACAGCGACTGTTAGCAGCAGCAGTAGGAGAGCAGAAGAAGCAGCAACAGCAGTACCAGTACTGGTGCTGATGCTGGTCGGAATATGAATATCGGCCACTATGCAACAGTCTTTGCGGTTGACACACTGCCTATGGCATGTGACGTGTTGTGTCTGTTCTGTTCTGTGCCTTCACTGGCTTCTCTGCATGGATGCGTGTGCGTTGTAAAAGCATGACCACAACTGATTACACGCATTGGCGCAGTATAGCTCTCAAGAGTGACCAAGTATATACAAGAGTGCACAACTCGAGAACACGATAGCGCGAGACACAGTGAATTCACCGCACTTTCAGGCGCTTGGGAAGCTCCACGATTTTGTAGGCTTTGCACTTCCACGAGAGTGAGCTAGTCGAAAGCATCATCCTAGGAAGATCCGACTCTTTTAATTGACCTCCTCTCCTTGTAAGCTGAATCGTGCAGTGCTTCTGTTTGTCTCTCTCTGTTGCCGAGTGGCTGTTTCCTGAAGAACTCCTCAAAGTCCGCAAAGGAGACACGTCCTCGTTGGCTCCGAAGATGCTTTTGTTAGCGCCTGTCCTTTTCAGTGCTTGTGGCCGAAACATGCTCAAGCATCGGCCAAAAAGCACCGAGATCCTTAGCCTCGGAAGCCGTAAGCTGAACCAATATCTGCCAGGGTTCTGCTTCCATACGACATGGCGTCAAACAGCTCCTCACGCACAGAATGCCAATCTGAGCGTGCACGGAGATGGGCAGTTGAGGAAGGTTGCTGGTTGCGGCCCCGGAGAAGATTGCACACATTCTGCTAATCACTTCCGCTTCGGAGATGCAGATCGGAACCGGGCTGCTCCTCGTGCTTGCGGCTCTGTATGGGACTTACGGCTACCCTGAGTGTGGCGAAGCCGGTTAGCATAAGGCATCCCTTTGAGAGCGGCCGTCCTGCACGGCAGTGAAAGCCCTCTCCGGGTCTTGGCAGTTGATTCCTGTGGATCCGGCTGCGGTTTCTGTAGCAGCGGAATGGCAATCGCTCATGACTTCCATGAACTGGACAGTTGCAAAGCAAATGACATGATTCTCGATGAACTCCATGCAGGAGGCTTGTGCTGTCCCACTCTCCGAAGTTTTTACTGCCACCTTAATCTCAGCACTTGACAGCTTGCCCGGGCAAAGCGATGCGCTTTACGTCTACGCGCTTTTGGTTTTACGAGATTCCGCCCCAGCAGGAGCAACAACAGCCAAAGGGTCTGAACAATTCTCCATGGAACCTGTGCTGGGGGGGGGGTCCGCCCCACTACGTGATCACAGAACTTTCAGAACCCAAAAGGAAAGCTTCAAAACGGGCACAGGCGAAACTTGCACGAATAGGCTTGTCTCGTGATAACGCACAATTGCCCAACGCAGACCTGTTCCAATCGCAAGCCGATGCATCCTTCAGGGTCCTAATTTTGCTGATCCTTGCAAGGCTTGAGCCGGAGCGGATCCGAACCAAACAAAGCCCGTGAGAATTCTCATCTCGAAGAATCGCCAGCCTGGGAAAAGCCTCCGTGCGACCAACGGGGAGGTCTCCACGGCATGGAGCATCGCCAGCTTTGAGATCTCGCCTGTGTGGCCTGGGCTTCAAGAATCAACGACGTGCCCGAGCTGCGCAGGGTTTCCGCATTAGATCATGACCCGAATGCTTCTGCTTGGTCTTCCACTGCCTGGGGTCTACGGAGTCAGCGGGAGAGTTAACTATTCGCAACTCGTTGACTGCATTGAGAAGTGCTGTTCTTCCCGATGTTGTTTCATGACCGCAGTAAAGCCTACCACCATTCGTGCCATGACGTTTACACGTATCAACAGCAAGGAGCTCAGACTTGGCATCATCATCATCATCATCATCGGCATCGCTGCCATGGAACTTGGAACAGTCACAATCGACCTGGTCATCGCAGCTGAAAGCATCATCTTGATAGGGGGCTGCCCAAAAGACAAAGCAAATCAGACACTTTGATGACATTAGCCAGACTTGTCAGTTCCCTGCTTACCGCATCAATCATCAATTCACCTTGTAAAATCAAAGAACAAAAACCTGCACGACTACTTCCACACACCGCCTGCTACGAAAACGACAGCTTCAATGACCACGGCGACACTGCTGCTGCTGCTGCTGCTGCTGCTGCTGCTACTGTTGCGGCGGCAACAATAAGGGCGCCAAAACAGTACTCAGCACAGCAGTATTTGTACTGTGAGCAGGAAAACCGGCAACTATCAGCAGAGTAACTGGAAGAACATTAACATTAACATGCGTACACAGAAATACCTTCAAAATGAACAAGGCAGATAGACGCCCCCTGGACAATGATAGTATAACGGTCGTGATAACAAGAGTGCCAATGTCACTACTGCCTGCAAGTACAAGAGCAGACTTTCAGCAGTCACTAGCCGGACCAACGGCAACCGCAAGCCATTATTGAAGGGAACAAGCTGTCGTGGCAACCACAACTGGCATAATACCAATGAAATCTAGGGTCGACTGTGATGCTATTCACTGTTCGTTTGGCCGGTAGGGTCTGCCTGCATCGATCATATTGAAGACGTCTTGAAGGTCACGAGGGCCGTTGTCCTAGCGAGATATTTGCGCGTCTAAGCCTCATTTCAGGATCCGGGCTCCGGAAACATGAAAGTCTCGACACCCGATGCACCCGACCAAAAATTGCAAAGTCTCGGGCTCAGCCTATGCACTGCATCCCCGTCCTTAGGTGCCTGTGCTTGTTGCCAGTACAGCGCAAAGGTGGCATAGGAGATCCCTTGCCAAAACGGGTAGAACCGGAGGAATGGGCGAATCGTAGAGGAAGGGTTTTCGGGCCCGGGAGCTACAGCTAGAGTATTCGGCCATTTCATTAAACTCTTCCTTTGTGGTCTCAGGTTGCTGAGGGCTTGGCAGCAGTCGGGGCCTTCGAAAAAAAACAAAAGTGCTTCGAATCGGGACAGCACCGCACTCGGCCACGATCTCGGACATCAACCTTTCGCAAACCCCAAGAGAAACCCCGACGTCTTCAACACCTCTAAACACCGAATCATAGATCCTCTTCAGCTCGGGCCTCAGGCCTCAAACTTGAACCCCTTAACTCCCCAAACCTTTTGATCTGCAGTCCGAACCGCTTTCTTGGCCACCGGAGATTTTGTGATAGAGGCGATCGACCTCGTCAAACCTTGGGTCTGCTCTGAGCCCTGGCTGCCTGGCTTACATCTATATATATATATACACGCATATACAGATATAGACCCACATTGTATACATATTTGTATACACCTCATATGTTCTATATAAGAACCATTAGCAATTCATGTAATTAGATGAATAAAACATAAACACATACAACAAACCAACACTCTGAATGTACAAGCAAATAGCAGTTAAACCAATTAGAAACACATGTAAGTAAATACGTAGAAACACAAATCATCATACAAGCATATATATATATAAATATAACAATAATGATAATACTAATAATACTAAGAATACTGATAATAGCAATAATACTAGTAATACTACTAATACTAATAATAAGAATGTGCGTGTGCAGGCCTATCTAAAAAATGTATCTATCTATATGTCGATCTATTTATCTATTGGGGGGAGGTCGAGGTCCTAGTTTCGAAACTTATCGAATCCGAAGCAGCGCAAGTTCTCAAGCCTCTGCAATCCCCCGAACGAGGTAAAAGAGCTCTGGTTCCCAAACCCACAGGTGGCCAGCCACGTGTCGGGGCATTTCATGACGATGCTGGGATCTCGACCTCGGGGTCAAAGGGGAAACGACTTTCAGTGTTGGGCTGGGATGCTTCGTTGAAGATTTGCGACCTTGGTGTGCAAGGTTACGACTCTCATTGCACATCCCAAGATATCAAAACCAGAACTAGAAGCCTCAAATGAATCATCTAAGCAAACCGTATGACGGAGCTCAAGACCGTTCTGACTGACAGTTCAGTTTGCAAGTTGCAAACTCTCACAATACATGATCGATCCCAACATCAAAACCGGAAGCCACGCTTGATTTCATGTGAAGTTGAAGTCAGATGCGCCCAAAAGATCATCAAATCCAGTCGTTCACGGCGGTAGTGGCGATGCAATGATGCTGGTGGTGCTGACTGTGAAGGTAGTTCTTGCTCCAAAGGTTGCCGCTCGTTTGACGGACAACTTGACGCTGTATAGAAGGGCAAGCTTACGCCAAAGGGTCCGAGGTTGCTGGGGTCGATGATGCCTTCAGAGTAAGAGAATTCTTTGGGACATTTTTGGCCTCTCTTTCTCTTCTGCTCATGGAAGTTGATCTTTTCGGTCAATGTCCACCCATTTCGGGGCAGTCCCACCCCCCCTCCCTCCCCCGTCGACATTGGCACTATCTGACAGGAAAAGAATTGAATAAAACATATCGAGCACACCTTGCAGTAAACTATGCGATGCATCCAAAGCTATGAAGTTTGCATGCACGCCGTCTCGAGCGGAGCATCTTGTCAAACATCCAAAAAAGCCCATAACTCATCTAAGCAATAACACAAAAAGGACTAAAACGTACTTCTGCGAAGCATCCGAACATCGGAATCACATCCGCAACATTGACCAGAAACATGTCTTGCTGAGCTCGTTCCAGAGAAAAACATTGGAAGCCGGACTCCAGAGTCGAACGCCCGAGAGACTCTGGGCCAAGATGCCCGGCAGCAACGTCCGCGCAATCTCCTGGCTCTTCTGAACCTGAGCTCCGGGAGTCGGTCTTTTGCGGAAACTCCAGGGACCTTTCTTGCAAACCTGCATCTGAAAGCAAGGTCGGAGCTGTTGAAGGCTTTCACTGCTTTGGGTGGATGTGTTTTGTTTGCGGCTCGGTGATTGCAGCCTCTCTCAGCGGGTCCAGGAACGAACTCAGGCGGATTTCATTTTGAGATGGGCTTGCAGTTGCAAAGTTGGCATGCAAAGAGCCAAACCCTTGGCCCCTTATCCAAGCTATCACAGCGGCAGCAATGCCACCACTAGCAAACTCTAGAAACAACAGTGAAGCCACCTGCTTCGAGCCAACACCTCGACGAACAGCGAAGACTTGGCCGAACCCTCGAAAAGCAAGCAGCAGCGCGGAAGAGCTCCCACTTGGAGATGCGGCCATCCTTGTCCTGTCGCATCCAGCGGCAAAGTCCCGACTTCAGGCAATCGTCTTGAGGAACCGAGTGCAGAGCCGAGCACCGTGCCCAAAACTACCGTGTGGTCAAAGCTTCGGGATTTCGGGACTCGCGATGACCGTACGACGGCGAAGCCCTGAACCCCCACCCCTGTCAGGCCAAGCGGCCTGGTCAATGCTCTCGCAAAGAATGCGCAGCTCCTCGTCCAAGCGCTCCGTGTAGGAGTCCCTGAAACTTTTCGAGGGCGAGGGGCTCGGATCTATCGGGTTCGGGAGCACTGGAGTTATTGAATTTCAAGGTCTCGGTGGGTTTTTTCAGGGGATGGAGGGCGTCTTGGTCTTGTCGTCACCTTCGGCTAAGACGGGTGGGGTGCCGCCAGTGGCCCGGCCAACTGTGTGCAGTGCCGGGATTGAAGAGTTTTAAGTTGTGGTTGATTACCACGAGAGTTTGGTTGCTTTGCATGCAAGTTCCAACCCTTGAATATGGATGGGAAATGGGAAACTAGGATGGGAATTAATTTAAACATCAAGAACATCTCCGCCTGTGGCGATATATGCTACCAGCTCCTGTTTACGGGCATAAACTTAAACAAGTCAAACGATGACTTGATCGGCGGGCCTGCTCAGCGCGCGGCCGTACGGGGAAGCTTCCTCCAAGGTAACACGGCTCCAAACGTACCCTGCTTAAAGCCTCAAGCTCATAGTTAACGTTTCTGAACGTGCCACAACTCCGCTTGCAAAGCCACCTGTGGCATTGGGCATGCTGCCTTTTTCAAACTATGGTACTGTGCAAACCACTGGGTCCGTGCTGGCAGTACTCGCTGTGGAATCCATCCGGATAGGCATACGCCTCATTTTCCTTGTTCAGACTGTGGGCATGCTTATCGGGAAGCAAGCCGCAGCTCACGAAACAGTTCGGTCACAACGTCAACGGCCACACATGCGATCCTCATGGCGGAATCTAGGCGAAGCAAACTGAGCTCATGACGACATGCCGCTCAAGGATGTCAACGAAGGCACTTTGTGTACCTTGGCGTTCTGCCACATGGTACCCACTATCGCCATTATCAGGCATACTTACCTCAGAGAGCAGGTTGCTGTGGGGCCTGGGTTTTTGAAACCCATTTTTTACAGGATTGAGGATTTTTCAGGGAGGGGACTCTTGTGAGGGGTTTTTGCAGATCCATTTTCTGTATCATACTTACATTGTAACATCTTCAAACACTTCTAAGGTACACGCAGCATTACACCACAAAGTAGCGTGCACTTCAGTTCCTGAGTCATTATTCAAGGTCAGGTTTAGCCTGTGCACAGTCAGACGTCGACACCGTGGTACTGATTGGCTACGTATCCACAGGCAGGAATCACCGAAAAAAGACCGTGTATTCTCTACTTATCAAACCAAATTTTGGGGTAGGCTGCACAGACTCGACACGTCCCTCATGGAGCCGCATATCTTATCCCTTCAAGACTTTTCCATCCTATCAGACCAACCCACCCAAGACTAGAACTCAACGCATCATCTGCTTTGGCATGCATTGTTTGGTTGTTTGAGAACATGTCCGGACTGAATTGGCATACTTATTTTGCAAGGTGCGTAGGATTCTAAACAGGTGTTTGGCCCAGTGCTTTGTTACTGCAGGTCAGCAAATATGAGTGAGTTCAATATATGATAATATATGTATTGGCATGTGTGACTGTGAAAAAATCAATGCAAAAAGAAGCTGCCCATGGTTAAGACATTTACTAAATACTTGTCTTAGCTGATTCAGATCCTGCTTGTGCGTGTGTTCATGTCCTGCTAACTGCGATAGGCACTATAGCTTCGTTTATTACCCACAGTCTACAATCCAAAATATCATGTATCTGAATCAGTATGAATGCGGGCATCTGGTTTTATGGGACCGCTGCCGCTGAAGCCTCGCTCGGGGAATGGTAATGCTCTGCAAACCCTTGCCTGGCATCGTCTTGCATGGCCTCCATCTCCACAAGTATCCGTATCAGAAATCTTATTGGTTTGATATACAACCTGTGCTACGGTTATAATGGTGGCGAAAACTGGAACTCTGAGCTATGTAGCAACAGCACTTGTGTTTACACGGGAAGACAGGCATAGCACATATGCCCCGTTTTCCACGTAAGCAACCCATGTGTTTATGGACAATGCATTTGTTTGCAACAAGGCCGGGTGTGTATAAAAGACGGACCACATAACATATTTATATTTCCCATAAGGGTAGTTCTCTAAATTGGGGTCCCCTTGTGGGTCCCAAATATAATACGGCACCCTTAGAAAAAGGACCCTAAAGGGATCCTATCTGTTGCATACCACCCATAAGCAGAAAAAATACCAATGTTTTTATTATAGCTTTCTCAGTCAAACGAGGTCTTGGTCTAAACCACACAAGCCGACATATGGAGAAAGTCCTACGCATCAGTGTGTCAGTATGCAGAATTTGAAGCAGGTGCAGTTTTTGAACTTGCTGCTTGGAGTCAGTGGGGCGCCCCGTGTTGGTGCTGTGGTGATTGCCGGTGGGAAGGGAGGGGTCTCCCAACATCAACCCAACACCCCTCCCCCCTCCGACATAATGCATGGAATACGAACAAACAAACAACGAGCAACTATCAAGCCCGAGTTAACCATCTAGTTTCATTAAAAAGCGTGTAAGAAAAACGAGGCACGTGACAATGAACAAATCCAACAAACTCAAAACGCTGAAAGCACGGTATACCGAAACGCAGTGTTCATAAACAAACCCTGTGTCACACCCTGTGTTTATAAACAAACCTCGTGGTTTGTAACAATTCAGAGTTGATGCTGTAGTTGGAAGCGGAAACATGCACGCACGTGCACCAAACTTATATTGTTGCAAACACTTTCAGTACGGCGAGAGCGCCACGAGGTTGTCTTCAATTTGTTGCTGAATCAGCACGACGTAACGAGATCTTGCAAACAAGTGTATGCCCATAGTGTTTCACATGCCACCGAGTTACATCGCCTGGTTGTCTCCGACCAGCAAGCAACTTAGTCTCAAGGGGTTGGACATCTTAAAACATCTTCGAACTTGGTATTGACCGAGGATAGCATGAGCTAGGAATCCAAGAACAATGGTGCTGCCAGAGTTATGTAATGATACCTCTTTGCCGATTACGGATGCATCGATGCAAAAGAAGCGGTCGCTATGTGAGCTCTACAAAGCACCTTCATGCATGGTCCGGATCGAAAGTTCAAGCTTGCAATGGAGTGAACAACCTGCTGGGGTCACGCTGGTTCTGTGCAGCACAGGAGCCGTTGGCGTTCCGGTCGGAACGCATACAGAATGAGGGCTGTAAAGAGGCACCTCAAAACACCAATCTGAAACCACCGAGAACAACGGGAAAAACTCAACGTGCTGTGAGGTATCATGACACTACTGTATGATATCTTGATGCAGTTCATGGCCGATTGTGTGATCGACCTCTGGGCAGCGTGCAGAAATTCACCGGTGTTTGGGCGAAAGCCAAGGTGCCGAAACATGTCCGCTGGAACGGGAAGTGTAGAGCGCCTTGCTTACACGTCCCAACTTGAGCAACATCAAGCACTCAGTCCCAAGAAACACGCAATCTCTGAAACGTGTTCATATGTCAACGAGCCCTGATATTGCAGGTTTGATGCTGGGCTCAAGGATCTCGGTGAGCGCGACGCGGCATTGTGCGATCTGACCTTGGTGGCTCTGCTCCAAAAAAAATCCCCGAACTTGGATGCTGAAACAACATAGAAGCAGTGTGGTGTAAGGGCCCGGCGTGCGGAATCTGCAAAGGAGGAGTGATTCTCGCCGCAAACGAAATCGCCATGGTGGAAATGACTGCAACTTGGTGCTTTTGTTCGAAAGGATATCTCAAGTCCAGCTGATATAGGGTAGTGGTTGCTTAGCCGGTCCTGTGAGCCCGCAGCAACTTGACCCGATGCATTTCTGGGCGTCCACACACACACACACCCACACACCCACTCACCCCACCCACCCACCCACCCACCCACGCACGCACGCACGCACGCTGGCTGCAGCAACAAGACATAACAGCACACAAGCACCCACCCACACGAACAAACAAACCAACCCACGCACACGCGAACGCGCACAACAGGACCAACAACAGTGACACGCTCCCCACCAATAATGCGCATGTGTGCATACATATACCCATGCAACACGAAAAAATACTTTCCAGAACACTTAACTTCTGAGCCGAGCAGGGCAGCAACATGCAGAATTGCTGCGGAGGTCATGGTTTTTGCATCGAATGCTAATCGCACACACCCTTGCATCTGTTCGTTCTGCTGCCTCTTGCACCAGAAGATAAAAGGTGAGGCCTCAACAGACTCCTGGACAACTTTTCCAGTGCCTCGTAGACATTGTAGACATTCTGCATCATGCTACAGTACTGGTCAAAGCGCGATGGGAAAGTTTTCCAGGGCAACAAATTTGCAAAGCCGTGGGCCGTGGCCAAGCTAACTAAGTGCCAAGCATGGGAAAAGTAAAGAAACAGGTTCACCAAAACCCGTCCCCAAATTACTACACTCTGCCACAAGTCTTCGATCCCTTGCTTCTCGTGCCCGGCTTGAAACGAATAGGAGATGGTAGATATGGACAGGGCTTGCCGGCTTGCTTCTGATCACCTTGTGATCAAAGCTTGCTGGCTGGAGCAGTGTTTCGGAGCAACATCCTCGGCGGAAGACTGCGGCCCGCTGACGCGTCGACATTCGAAATTTGCGATGCAGCAGCAGACCCGCCCTGTATGGACCCCAATATTTCACAACCCAACAAAGCGCAACCCACTGCAAATACACCCAAGAACACAGTTGTTCCTCAATCCAGGAGCCTGATAATACGCGCACAAAACAGGCCACACATATGCCACAACAACAAACTCAGCTGTTCAGCTGGTCGTCAACAACACCTTTTCTGAGCTCCCCACGCAGAACAAGTCTTGTCATCGCCGCCCATGTTGACACAAAGGCCGAGATTGGGCTGCGACTTCATCCTCGGGTGGAAAGCGCAGCCACTCCAAGCACAAACCCGGGAAACCCTGGCTGCAGGGAGAGACCACAGCCAAAGGTTCTGTCGAGGCACAAGCACCATCAAAGGTGATGGAGTGGTGCATGGGAGAGTATGCTTAACAGGCTTAACACCAAGCCGAAACAAATGCTTGCAGGATTCGTCAACTTTGCTTGGATTCTGAGCCCAACCACATCCTCTGGAGATGCAGGGTGTCACACTACGTGTTGTCTAGCTTGTGCTTGCGCTATTCGGCTACATTCATCAACTCTGAATGGTGGATAGGAGCTCTTCGAAATTCTGGATACCATTTCTTCTGGAACCCACTGAAACTAACAAACAGCCAGGCCGTCCATCGGAAACCCTGTTGCAACACTGTTACAGCTGAGTGGCTGGTAATCCCCGCACAGGCCTTTCATCTGCCTGTAGATTTCCAGGACCTGCCTGCAAGCTGCGAAGCTTTGGGTGTTTTCGGAGGTTGCGATCGGGACAGGGTTTGCGCTAAGATCTATCAACGCCATGGCTGGCCTGCGGGACATCTCTCCAGCAAAATCGAAAGCTTCAACCCTCCGACAAACAAACCCATTTGGATCAAACATCCCACATCGCTAAAACTTCACAGCCCTCATCGCTGAGCTTTTGCCAAGCTTCTTGACGCCGGTTGCACCGACTGGGTGGCCAAAGGATATCAGGCCACCACCTGCTCACAGTTTAATTTCATCCGACCGCTCAACCGGAATTAGAGTTGAGGCATGTTCCTCTTGAGGGCATGTCGGTGTTCCAGCAGCATGCTCTGTTGGCTTTGAGATGAAACTGTTGATCAGAAACGCATCGATTCCAACACAGTCGAGCGGACATGAAACATCATGAGTTGAACAAGACAGACTACAGCGACCATGGCATTGAACACGACATGATCCTGCCCAGTGTCAGCTTGGAGATGCCGCATGCCACGTGTGAAGGGTGCCGAGTGCCCACGTAGATGTGAAAATTTGGAATCAAAAACTCTATCTAGGATTTGCTTGGAGCAAGAAGCGACCCTTGCTGGTGCACGTAACACCATCGACAAGAAAGGTACTCCTTGCAATCGTTAAAGTGCCCCCGCCAGACACCCCAAATCCTGTTCAGTGCCCAGCCTGTGTTCACTGGGATCTTGCCCTCCAAGGACGTGGCGCCAGATTTCACCAACTCAGTGCCTGCTCAACGCATTTTCGTTGATTCAACAGGGCAATTTTGGAGAACCGGGCTTGCGAGACTATGGGTCCGTTGCTACGAGTGGTGCAGGGGTTGTGCAGCAACAGTCAACCGCAGCTGTCTCAACAACTGCGCAAAACTTACGCCGAAAACGATATCTCCAGTGTCTCCTCATCCATAGCCTTACATCAGGAAAGGCGTTGAACAACTGTGCATGACAAGGGTTCCCTGAATTCAGCTTGGAATCCCTTTGGTGCTTCGACCCAAGCAAGCCTCTTGCGGAACTCTGCGAAAGCTGAATCCTGCATCGTGCTTTATTTCGCCCTTCTCCAAGCCCCCTCAGGAAGAAGTGGGTAGCAGTGGCTTTGATGATGGACGTTTGCAAGACTCTTTTGCTGCTTTCAACTTCTGGCAGAAATTTGTGACATCATTTGCTCTCTTCGCGGCCTTTTCCAGGAGGCGCCAACCCAATGGCCTCGTACATGAGAATCTCAGCGATGGCCTGGTGGCAGCTACAAGGGAGATCCGAAACGCGAGACCCCAAACCTCCGTGAGATCCCCAAAGCAAACGGGGCCAGGAATCCAAGTGTAAATCCTGAGTCCCAGCGAGCTGTCAGTTCGTAACAAACAGCCATCCCTGGGGATTGGAATGAGTTTCTACACTGAACAGCCAAAGCATCTCCTGGCATCTCCGTTCGTTAGTGCATCCCTCATGACATGCGGGACAAGCCGTCAAGAAAGCATAACAAAGCCGGAGGCTCGAAGCAATCATGGACTTCTGCCACATCCAAGTCCGAAGGCTTCACGCCAGCGCTGGCCAACATCCGTGACACGACCTGTGAAGGGCTTCCAAGACGCTATGCCGCTACGCTTTGCTGGGCCTAGCCAAACCTGGAGAAGGTCCCTGCGCTTATCGAGGAATCAAGTAAAATTCGGAACGCCAGCTTCGGCTCGAAAATTGCGACATTTTTAGTCGATCTTTCGGAAATACACAGCATTGCATGGCATCTGCAAGGTTAGATTTTGCTTGAAGCTGGGAGACCTGCAAACGAAACACCTCAAGGCTTTGGCAGGGCCTGAAAACACGAAATGCCGCTACTAGATAAGATGCAGCTCCGGTGAGAAAGAAGCCAGACCCAAGTGGCTGCTCTCGTGGTGTCCATAACGGCTAAGTCCTCTGGGTCGGACCACAAATCTCCTCCCACAGGGCTCTTTTTCATGCCGGCTTGGGAGAATAGGATCAGGCAAGGATGATGTGGACGGTAGGGCTAGTTGTGCGCACATATGTCGAAGGCATTCGAAGGCTCAGAACTAGGAGCACTTGACACGTGCCTCCTTGGATTGACCCAAGCTTGGGTTTTGTCATCTATCGACAGAATGCGTCTTTGATGCGAGCATAGTACTAGTGACTAGTGTTGCTAAATCAGCCCAATTCTCACCGACTGATGTCTTCTTGCCTGCAGCTGGTGTCAAGCTTGAACCCTTCTTTCGACACACTCATAAGTCCCAACTGGATGCGCAAACCCTTTCGCGAACAGTCCCACGGAAACGCAGGCCAGCGCCTGCACCATAGTCAGTCGCAACAATCTCCACCGCCTGATGCTTGCTGAGGCCACACTTCCGGAGGCCCTGGCGGCTTCCGAAGTCGACTGCTTTGGGAGCTTGAAGCCGTTTGGCTCTACTCTCCGACGAAACAAAACTATGTTGCACTCAAGTGGCATTTGCATCGAAGAATCACCGAATTTGACGCAAAACTTTTTTATAACGAAATTTTTCGTTCGATACATCCTCTCCGTCTGGGTTTCTCTTTCCTCCCGCCCGTTCCAGTCTTTCAACTTCTCATACAAAAACGTTTGCGCATGTCTGCACGAAACGCCCGACCCTCCATCCATGCCTCCTCGGACACGAAGATGGCTGCAGCACCTCAAACAATAAGTCACCAGCGTATGATAGGCCATCAGGCGATGCATGGTCACCGTTGCTAAATCGTATCCAGGTGCCGCCATCTGAGACTTGCGAACAGTGCGTCGCTCGCACGAAGGGCCTTAGCAACACTCACAAAAACACAACATCATTCCCGCTACAAAAACTGAGCCAGTCTATTGCTATATTGCATATGCCATGTCCGGTAATGGAGCTTTAGAAGGCAAGCCATCAACCAAGTAATGAAACTCAACTGAACAAACCTGTTGAGAATTGCCTGCAAGCTGCTTGAGCTCTTCATTTTTGAGGAACTCAGGGCCGGCCACCGCTTTCTCTAAAGGCAACTTAACCTGCAATTCGGGAGCAAACTCAAACCACCAGCGAAGCAAGGTTGCGGGTCTTCTGATAGGGTTTGGAACAACATCCAATGGCTCGTGTCAGGTGGCACCCAGAGCTCACTCTTTTCATGCCTGCGGCGACCACGATTTTTGGCCGCCCTGC